TCCTGCCGAAGCCCAAAATAAACCAGTAATTTCATTTCCTCTTCGAAGGCTTTCTTGGCTTTCAGTTTCTTTATCGTAGCCAACGCTACTAAACATCTAATCAACGTTTCTATGTGCTCCAGTTCATTCAACGCGGTTAGGGGTCCTATCGGTGACGCCATATTGTTATGAAGTACAGTACTCTCTGGAATAAACGTTGTTAAATCAACATATGGTAGCTCGACTTATAGGAGTACCCCCTTTACACACAATACTACAAAGTGTTATTAAAAAGTGAAAATAAAGGTTTCCATTTCCTATTTGTTTTAAGCTACGTGTGAAAGATATCTTTTCAGATTTTGAAAATATGATATTTCAAAATCTGCTTTGATTATAATATTTTCAATGAATAAACGTGAAAAAAATAAAATAAATATAAAAAAAATACTACAATGAATTGTTTTGTTGAGATTGTATTAACGATGAACTTTTCTCAATGTACGGATGCCCAGTCACGTTATCATAGCGTTTTTGGAATAAACAGAGCATAAATAATTTCTCCATAACCCTCCTACGAGGTATCAAGTTGGGTAAAAGGTGAAGAGACAGACAAATCAAGAAATAGTTTGACAACGTCACTGAGTAGACAGAAAACTCATTCATAGACACACAGACATTGGCACGCAACAGAGACATGTGGAGTGAACTGTGACCCTACGACCATACTCAGTCATGGGGTTGCTGATGATAACGATGTGAAGAACATAAAAAAACTTCTTTGGGATTAATAGTCATGTCTATCTCTCTCACCGACAACATTTCAGGCCAAGCTCAATGCATATAAGTTTGGAATGCTGTTTTACAAGGTAGAAAAGCTATCTCTACTCAAAGGATCGGTGTGGCACAATCTTCTGACACATGATCCCCTCTCTCCTTGTGTTAGACAAGTGGTTCCCAAACGGTGTGGCGTGTCTCATAAGTGTGACAGAAGAGGATAGCAGGTGAGGCGGAATTATTGAAAGACAATCAAAGACTTAGAAACAGTTTCAAAAAATTCATATGCCAAGACAAATATTATTCCAGAATTCAAAATATTATTATGCATTGCTTCCAGTATAAATAGTTACAAATAATTATTGACCGATTTTATCATTGTGATATTTTTGCATTATATCAAGTATTAAGAATATAGTAACTAGGCTCTACAAATTGGAGGAGAGAGTTATACGCAGTTATCTCCCTTTAGCGCTCTCTGTGTTGTTTTTTTTAATTTTTAAATGTACTTTTTATCACATAAAATTTGGTGAGGTGCGATCAAATGTTCATTCTGAAAGTGCGGCTCAGAGAAAATTGCCCTTCTTTTGAATCCTTATGCCAGACTCAGTTAATCTTTGATTTTCTTAGTTACTAAACTAGTTGGAAAGAAACAACTACCTTATTTTTCACTAGGCGAGAAGAGTAGGTAAAAAAAAGTTAAAATTTCGAATGCTGATTTTCAAATCAACTTTCGTTTAGAATATCGGCGCAACATAATCCTCCGACCCCAATTTCCTTTCCTTGTCCGTTGTGCCATACTGTGTAAAACTTAGTGAATATGTATTCAGATGCAGATTTGGTTAAAGCGACTTGGGGAAAATATAAAAGTACAAATATATGGTAGCGAAAACACATTACCTCTCGTTTTATGGATCATTTTTTTTTATGTGGCAGAAATTTGGTAAAATGCTTTCAAGCAGAGAGTTTTGCAAATAGCCAAAAAATAGCTTAGAAGAACGGCATGATCGAACAGATGAAAACTTTGCTCGTATTCCCTTACTAATTGACTTTTTGTCGAGATGAATATCAAAAGGACAAGAAACATAAGCTCGATTATAACGCAAAGCTTGTATTTATATTGCTGTAATTACTTCGCTATTAATTATTAATTATTTCACTTGTTTTCAGGGCCGGTGCAAGGGTGTTGTGACCCTCGAACCTATAATATAACACACCCCAAATCTATGATAGCCCCCACCTCCACTACATCTCAATTTTCATAAGATAGTATACATAAAAAATACAAACATTTTGTAACATAATTATTTTAAAACATTTTTATGTGTTATGGGGTCCTCCCCTTTTTCATATGTGGACTCGACTAAAGTGTTACTTGGACTGCTGCCGTTAAATACCCAAAGTTAGACAGCCAGTCAGAATACAGAGAGGAGATAGAGATAGTAAGAAGACTGAGATTGTGATTGAGTTGGAGGTAGAGTAATAGTGTGAGGTAACCGCAGTTACAAGCACGCCAGACTCTAAGGAAGTCCTACTTCGAGACTGTATATATCTATATATTATTGCTACTAATCGCGTTCCTGGATTTACTAACAGTATTACCCTTTTTGTATTATTGTGTAAAAATACATTTAATTTCTTATCTTTAATTCTTGCGTTTGTTATTCATTGGAGACCGATTTTCATCTCGGAATTCACAACATTATGTTTATAGATTCTTTTTATAGTTACAAATATTTAAGTAAATGCTATGTTTATAATAAACAATATTAAACATTTACCGGCTTAGCATCCTCCGTTCAGAGGTTTCGGGTGGGGTATGTACCGGTCTTGCTTGCCTCACTCATACGCATGATGAAAAGAGACGAATGTAGGGCGATATATTTCTTTGTCTTAAATATAAATATCTAAGAACTCACATAAAGGCAATTATACATACAGTATTAATTTTTTATGATAAGGTTTTAATACCCAAGGAAATAATATCTGTCATATAATGGTCCCTATAGGTGTCAATATGTCAACAGCATATAGTTTAAGTAATTCAAATACACAACAAAAAAATTGCTAACGAATATTTTTTTTTGTCATTTCTCATTTAGTTGTCAACGAAGGATGAAGTAAATGCATTGTTAAAATGGCATCGCATGCTTCCGTGGTAAGGAATGTAGGATCGAGTCTTGTTAGAATCTATTCCTTATTTGGAATGCTTGTAATTTACTTTGGAAGCCGAAGAACTCACTGGCTGAAAAAGTTATGATGAGAATCACACAACGTTCTACAAAGAAAAGATGTCGCTTTATATTTTTGAGCAGCATCTAAAAAAAATTATCTTAGGATGTATAGACCGTCTTTGTAATATGTTTACAATAATGCACTTAAAATATCATCTTTCCATGTCAACCAACTTTCTTGGTTTTGTTACATTATCAAATTTCAACAAAAACTAAAAGGAGATTGACTGAATAAAGAAAGATTGAATGATTAATCTGTTTGACGGCTTCAGATCACCGGATTCCCTGAGTATATATGAGTTTTTTTGTTTTTTTTAAATTGGCAAATATAGAAACAAAAGACATCAAAATTAGTTAACAAAGTCAGCGAAGAAAACTGTCTGTTTGTCGCCTCTAGAATTTGAAAAAAAAAGATAGGCATAACTAATTCACATGAAATCATAAAATTTCTAGTACCAGTTAAACTGTAGAATTGCGAAATTCCTGTAGAATCATATCGTGTCTGTAGAAATGGCATGTGCTGGAATCTGTCACAATTCGATCTCTAACTACAAAATAACCAAATTTTTCAATAAGAAATAGACAAAGATGGCAAGTAGTGTAATACTGTCTTGTTTTATTGCGACATAGACAGGATAAATAGGACGCTGCGATTGGATGGACAGTGAATAATGAAATTTGTTTTGTCATTCGACGAAACAATGGCTTCTCTTTTCCATTCTTGTCTCGACAAAGCTTGCCAAATGTCGATGACTTGTTACTTTTCATGGATAATTTTCGATAATTATGTTCTCTACATAATAACAACAATAATTTTGTCGGCACCGCTCGCATCCGGGCATTGGGATCGTCATCCTCTCTCCCTATTCACTCCCGCTCCTGTTGTCGGTGGCTGAGATGGCAGTGATTCAGAGAGAGTTTGACGAAGCTATTCGTGTGAATTTGATCTGGGCGGACAACTCTGAACGACGGAGAAACCCACACACTTTGCCAGAAGCGCCTCCCTCACGGTTTAAAGGGGTGTTATAGACAAGCGCATGGTTGTAAGAAAGAAATACGACAATAGCAGAAATAGATTTACGTCATTTATTTCAATAGGAACGTGTGGGTTTGGGACAGCTACCTTGTGGTATAGTTCTTAAGCGGGCTGCCGATCTGGGTTGATCTCTCATAGTAGTTTTCACTGGTTGCGCTCCTCCTGCTGACTGCCCAGACTGACCGTGACAGATCTCTTCAGTGGCCTCCTGTTGACTGCCAGTACTTCCTCGTGTGACCCCTTTTATGGTGTTTTTTTATGGCTTAACAGGCTCGAAAAACGACGCGAGTATAATTAGGAGGGAAGCATTTTTATTGGTCGAAAAATAGAAACACTTTGAAATATTATTTTATTTTTCGATTGGAACTCGTGCGTCGGGCCTATGTGTAAACGACGATAATGGTCATTTTGTGATGGGGCCTTGTCCCGTTCACATCCGGCTCTCGCTCTTGAGTATGTTAGTTTGTTTGCCTGCAAATCAGCCGAGATATGTCTTATTTTATTTTATAACAGGGGGTTGAGACAAGTGGGATCTGGCAAACCTGGTTGCATCGGGTTGTCAGATTCTTGGTCTGTCAAAGTCCGCCTCGGTTACGCCAGCCCGACTGGCGCTGCCCATTCTATATTTGGCCGTTGAGATCGTGTAAATCTTTAACTATTCCGTCGTTGTGGTCTTCGGAGGTTGGTCGCGTTCAGTTTGGTCATTCCTCGTCGATCTTACCGCCATGGGTTGCCCTATAGGAGTTGAAACTCCAGACCGCTTCGCTCTTTGGATCACTGTGACAAGTAAGCGCTCTCTATATATGGAACGACTACATATATTTTACACTGGATGTCGGAGTGAACAGTTCGTTATCAAATGTAACACATTGACTTAACAATAATAGAAGCGAATCAATAAATAGAAAAATAATAAAACTAATAAAAGTATAAAAATATCATTAAATATATGAATACACTTTTTATTACTGTTGTTGTTAAAAATAAATATGAGATAGAAAGAGAGAGAGAGAGAGAGAGAGAGAGAGAGAGAGATAATAAAGGAAGAAATTCACTACTGAACAATACAGAAACTGTCTTAACCATCACTAATTGTACTTATGTTTGTTTTACAAAGTTTCTATGGACACAGGACAAACAAATTTTTGTACGTCCTTCAAGTTGCAGCAACGTATCTCATTAAGTTTAATTTAAGTCTGGTCGTATAAAGTTGGGAAGTCGAGTCACGAGCTCCAGTAGTTGATAACTTAAAACAAACAAAACATAAAATGACATTTCTAAATGGTATCCAAGTGGACTTCTTTGAAACGGAAACAAATATTGGTGAATATCAGTGTGTCTTCACCTGGAAGGCATGAATTTAACTTTTCCTGCCACTTTCCAACACGGTTAGGCTGTTTCAAGGTTAGACACTCAGAATTTGGTCACCAATCACCACCATATTACTTGAAACAGGAAACACATAAAGAAAGAACACTTGCACAATATAAGAAACGAAAATTTTTCATAAATAATTTCTTCAAATAGGTTTCGTGATAACACATTAAAAAGAAACGAAAAGGTTTTTGTGATTGATAGCCAAAGATTCCAAATTTAAGTCGAATGTATTTGAATTAATCGGTCATCATGAATAAATACATGAGTTCTGAAGAAAAAAGTTCATTTCTCCACAGAAATAATTGCAGGCGGACAATGAAATAGAAATATTCTAGCAACGATTTCTTTCATCACTATTTAAATATAAATATTACACATCAAGTTAGTTTTTGATAAAGAACAACAGCAATTATTATTATTATTATTATTATTATTATTATTATTACAGATATGTCTGTATTATTATTATTACAGATATGTCTTCAAAATTAAATTATTCGAAAGAAAACATTACCTCTTCAATGATCAGCTAACTGGTTTGAGAGTCGAGATAGCCATTTGACTCTTTCTCTTTTCTTATTGATTTTACTGCTATCAAATTACAGACGAAATTTTATAACCTCGCAAAGTTTTCAGATGCGTGGCTACAATTTTTCTCTTTTGTTATATTGAAATCTTTTTGTATTTTTAATACGCGTCTCTAAGTCTAAAGCAGTTGCAAAAATAAAAAAAGCGTTTTTTAATCATTTAACCCGATGCAAGGCAATACAGCGTGTGCAGAAATTTCGATCTGTTTGTTCATAAATGATAATTATTGTCGTTAGTGCACACAGATTCTCTGTTAACAATATTATGATTGATTTGATGATTTCAGTTTTTGTAAATAAATATCTCAATTCTTTCTGAGTGTCACATGTGCAACTACATTATTGTACAGAATATCGATTGACGTGAACTAGCGTCTCTCACTATGCCGAGGTTGAATAAAAACGTCCTCATTTCATGGTCACTGCTCTAATTTGTTTGGGCAGAAATATTCCAAAGCTTAGCTTTGTATAGCACAAGTCAATTGTGGATAGAGGAGGTAGACTGTGTTCCGTCAATTTGTTTAATGAGGTAAGTGTCGGTCTGTCATAAAAGATACCTTTCGAAATCGTGGCTTTTTACCTGGGCGGAAATATAACCATTGACGTGAATAGGAAACACCTAACTCCATCAGCCACCAAGTAATACCGAAAATAATGTATAATGTATGAGGAAGAGGAAGTGAAAGCATGAGTCTAGAAAATAACAAGGAAAAGTTTTGTTTGCAGTTAAATAATTGCTCAGATCAAATGTCGAAATTTGTCATTTTAAATACACAGTGGCGCAGATTACTATGGTAACAGGAATCTTGTCTGTTTTAATAAACGCCAGTTTTTCTTTCCTTTTCCTCGAGGAAAATTCTCTATCTCGTTATATAAATGAATGGAAATATACTTATGAAAAATAATTTCGTGACATTTCAAGATAAAATCAATCAATAGACTTATTTAATTAATGACAAAGTACTAAGTAATTTCAAATCAATCGGTAAATTTAATTATTTATTTCAGGAAAACAGAAAGATTGAGGCCAATCTGAAATATCAAATATATATACAAATAAATAAATACTTTCATAAAAAAAACATTATTATTTTTTTAATTTGCAACTTTATATACATATATATATATATAGTGTGTGAGAGAGAGAGAGAGGGACGGACAGACAGATAGATTGAGAGAGATAGATAGATGAAGAGAAAGAGATAGATAGATAGATAGATAGATAGATAGATAGATTGAGAGAGATAGATAGATGAAGAGAAAGAGATAGATAGATAGATAGATTGAGAGAGATAGATAGATGAAGAGAAATAGATAGATAGATAGATAGATAGATAGATTGAGAGAGATAGATAGATGAAGAGAAAGAGATAGATAGATAGATAGATGAAGAGAAAGAGATAGATAGATAGATAGATCGATCGATAGATAGATAGATAGATAGATAGATAGATAGATAGATAGATAGATAGAAATGGCTATATAAAGAAAATGAATTTCAACACACTCATCCTTTCTTCTGACATTAAATGTTACTCACCTTGTTCGTTGATAGAACTAACCCCACTCTCAAATATTCAAGCACCGAATCATGACCCCCTATTTTGCTGTTCAGTCTGTTTGCTTTCTTTTTCTTTCTTTCCTGAAATATCTGAGTGGGGCTAACCATGTGAGAAGACGAATAGAATTTATGACCTCTTAAACGCTGGGTTAAAGATTTTAGGTAACGGGGATTAATTTTGATCCTAACAAAAATTGGGGGTGAAAACAAGACAGGACTCTGGTTGGTCAAAGGATAGAAACTTCGAGAAAAGCGGATATGGCTCCTTTTGACTGACTGGCACACGTAATTAATTTGACATAGCGAAAACGTCAGTCGAGTCAGTAACAACCAAGCGTTGGATGGGTCAATTGATAGTCAGACGGATGGAGAAGAGTTAGGTCAATCGATATTGTCTCCAGATAGCAGTAGAAGTAATAGATTGGGAAAAAGAAAGCAAGATGCTCAGAATTCACAAAGAGAGAGAGAGAGAGAGAGAGACAGAGACAGAGACAGAGAGAGGGGGGAAGGAGAGAGAGAGAGAGAAATTGGAAAATTTCTTCAATACATTTCTTCTACTTGTTTGTTTCTGGACACTAGTGTTTTTTAAAGTACACCCTTGTGCAAATGAATTCAAACAAAACGAATAATTTAATTCTTATTTACTTTGTTTTTTCGTATTTTCCCAATGAAACGTGACCTAGTGCACATGTTAATACTTCGTATGTCCATTTCACGAAGTCGTTCCTTGCAGATTGATCACAGTTTCTCGATTGGATTTAAATCAGGAGAGTTTCTGGGCCAATATATAGTACTTTGATTTGCTCACTGGTAAGGCTCCCAGTGTGTTCGTGCAGCGTTACAATTTTCATACGCTTCCTTGGAGTAAAGTCCATCGCAGACAATGACCGTAGGACAACTAATCGACAGTCGAGACAATAGTGTTTGGGCGTGATAAAAATCTGATGCAATCATTGATGACGCAATATTTTTCAAGGTCAAACAAATTACATCTTATACCCCGAAAATAGATTCATATTACTGCACACCACTGCAAATGACCTAGTTTGAGGAAAAAATAGAAATCGATTACACCCTGTCACTCCAGTGGGTATAAAACTGACCGTATTGTGAAAGAAACGAAACTAAAGCGGTTGTTTCAATTAATTTGCACAAGGGTGTATGTATTTCTCTTCGAACTCATCTTTTCTCTTCGATGAGCTACGCAGGTAGCTGATAAACAATGTGTCGTTGAAGGATATTGATACGATGTATACACCATAAGGTTTAGATTTCACTAGTTATTGCAGTAAGAGAAGACGGAACATGTGACACAGAAGTCCAGTGACGCAGAGGAATAGTGGATGATGCCTTTCAGAAAGTAAGCAAGTATTAAGAGATAAGAAAATTTCATCAGAAATAGAAAACATAGTTGATATAATATATATCTCATCTCCTATATGGCAGTGAGTGGCAGAAGAAGAAGAGACAGAGATGTGGATCTATCGATAGATCCTGCGAATATGAGCAGCGAGGAAGTTTAACACTTTGAGCCCCGCGTTCCTGAACAATGTTAACCCTTCTGCCTGAGCTCCTGAGTCAAAATTCGCAAATAATTAGTATGTAATGTTTCATGGTAGATATAAAAATGGTTACAAGTGTTTACCCACCGTTCAACCTGTGGCTGGGCATTAAGTCATTTTTCTCTGCCACCGGTAAAGCGGTGCTCAGGGCTCAAAAGGTTAAAGGCAAATAGCAACTAAAAGAATACTTACAATCAGAACGAGACAGTAGAAATTTCTAGCGAATTTAAAACGCACAGGATAGATTGAAAGTAAGAAAATCAGCGGCAAACAGTAAATAATTTATCTTTCTAGCGATGGTAAGGAGTGAAAAGTAAATTAGAACAATAAAAGACAGGAAGCTGTAGAGAATCATGATCGCCCACGTCCTGAATGGATATGGCACATAAAAGAAGACGAAGAAGTTGTACAATGTTTTGTTTGTATTTTGATCTTTTGTGATTTTCTCAAATAGTATTTTTTAAATTTTTACTTCTGGTGGATCTAAACATAGCTGTTCTAGATTACAATTTACTACATTTTATTATTCTCATATTTTGCGCAAATAATCCAATTGTTTTTTTCTATTTTAATATCGGATTCATGGATACGATAACCAAAGGGAAAATACAAAACCCGGAAGTCCAAATGGCAGTCCTCATTAAAATGACGAATTATCACCTGTAATTATGTTATTGTTTTCTTCGCTTTTGTGTAGAATCATTTCAACAAGAAAAGAAAATTGAGTTTATTAACATTACTGCAGGTTTATAAGCGTAACAATAATTGAATCAATGATACAATTAATGAAAACAAATTTGATACTGAGAGCACTGAACCATATCGGTTGGTAAATATGTACTCGACAAAAACTAGTGTTAACAGTTAGTCATTTATTGGCAACAGCCATATTGACCCAGTTTAATGACGGATGTTACCATTTAAAACCAGGACAAATCTTGAAGGACAAAAATATGGTGAAATGTTTTTTTTAGCATAATCTATAGTTCCCTCAATTGATGAATTCAGCTTTCAAAACACTTAAAAATATATGTATTAACTTGGTGTTTACACAAAAAAAATCATTCAAACTTACAGCATCTGGTAATCCAAGCAGTCACCCATCTAGTTACTGACTAGTCTCAGCGTTGCTTAACTTCAGCAATCGTACGTGGACCGTTCAGAAAGAAAAAAGGAATTAAATAATATCTAACTAGTTTTAGCGTTTAAGGATGGTGATTTGTTCCTTGAAATTGTGCGCAGAGCTTGCCTGCTGAAGCAGGGACAAAAAGGAAAAAAGAAGGGGATGTTGTGGAGAGACATGCACAGCAAGATACCAAAGGTACATAGCACATAAAAAGAATATATGTAATAATACCTTAAAAGCCGCCTTATCGGGCGGCATTTAAGCTAGCTCCTTCAGATGTCACTTGATTGGGCCTTCATCACAATAGCTAGGGAAGAGTAGATGCGATAGGCAACAATAAACTACAGAAGAACTCAAAATTGATCATTTCATTTAAGTATTGCATTAATATTTAAGATTATCTTTTAAAAATTCAACGATAATTCTTCTGCTGCCACTTAATTTAAAGACAATTTGATGTACGTAGGTCCTTACTTTCCGTACAAACTGTTATTTATATTTCATGGGTGACTTTCGCTGGATTTCGCAATTAATTTCGATTATTCCCCAATTTATTTCCAAGTTACAAAAATTGTTATCGCACAAAAATAAATTGTCGCAAAAAATTACGTAAAAAATTGCCGAAAACAATCCTAGTAATGAAAACTTGACAATCCAAAATTTCAGATAAGGGAAATGTCTTTTGAGTCCCGGGATGATTCTCTAACGTGCTTTCGACGGTTTTTTATTTTTTTATTTATTGCGCCGTCAGCTATCTCTTTTCCGATTATCTCAGGACTTTAGCATATTAGATAAAATATCTGACAGTATAGAAATGTCTCTCTCTCTCTCCATTCATCTGCGAACATCATTGTGTTTGGTGATTTTAATGCTCATCATGACAAGTGGTTTAATCATTCTAATGTTACTAATGTCGCCTGTATTCAGTCTCAATTTTTCTGTTGCCCAGTCTCTCAGTCAAATAGAAGATTTTCCTACTTGTTTCTTTAATTATTCTGATCAACATGATTTGTTTCTTACTTCTTCATCTAGCTCTTGTCGGGAATCACAACTCTATCCTTTTGGCAATTTGGATCACGATCTGTTGATATTTCTTTTGTATCGTTCATTAGACATGAACCTTTTATTCACAAGACTTCTTTCTGACACCAACATACTGATTTGGGATTAATTTCTGGATTTCCTTTCCGACGCCACTTGTAGTGAAGTTATTAACCTTCCTATTGAAAATGGTGCCATTGATCTTTCTTCTTGGTTAAAATACAAGGTGAAACCACAATCTTCTCCTTGGTTTAAACCTGTCCGTTAATCATTTTTTCCTGCTGTTCTAATGTGATTGTTTCGAACACAACAGACGCCTCTTTGTGTTCGTTCGTAATAACTGTCAACGTATATTCAAAAAGTCTAAATCTTTATTCGTTGACAAAATGAGGTATTGTATATCCCCTAACAAATGTGGTCCTCATGACTAATGGCAACTATTTAATAGTGTGTTAAATAAAAATAAGTTTTCTAACACTCCTCTCGTCGTTTTTTTTTAAAAAAAAATTTTGCCCTCAGCTATCTTTTTCCCTTTATCACCTCTCGTTTTCTTAGGACTGTAGCATATTAGATAAAATATTTGGCAGTATAGAAATATTTTGGTTAATTTTTTTTTTATTTTGCCTTAATGGGTGAACATAAAATAGTATGCCACATTTTAGCGTCTTTTCGTGGTGAAAAACACATTGATTTGAAAATTCTTGCAAAAATCAGATAATTGTCAGATTTTAATGGAACTTTCATAACTGAATGAGATTATTTTAGAAACGTTTCTTTCTTAGAAAATCTTGGTAAAAAATATTTCTTTTTTCATCCACACACTTATTTAATTTTATGAAATTTCGAGAAATTCATTTTTGTAGCGCTTAAAGTTTATATTAGTTATAAGCATAAGGATTTGGAGAATTTAAATAATTTAAGTCAAACATAACTTCCAATTCCAGAAAATCGTCTCGGAATCGTAATAAAATTAAAACATTATTTAATTAGAAAAGCTTTTATTGATTTTATGGATCAGATATTTACAGTTTCGATGCATTTATATTTTATTAAGAAACATTTTTTTCGATTAATAATAAATTTTTACAACAATTTTTTTCATTTAAAATTTTTTTAAAATTATAATAATTCATAAAATTTTAAATCTTTCAAAATTCTCTCTTAATTTGTAGCTGTTAGCTCATAAGATTAATAAGTAAAAACTATATTTACCAATCATAAATAGAAAAGCTTACTACAATTCAAGGACCCCTCGTATTTAAAAAATAATTTTCATTTTTTTGTGTATGTATAAACGTGCCGATTTTTGTAAATACAGGTGTCCATGTCCGATATTATCAGAAAATAAGCACAGTATCAATGCAAATAAAATTGGAAATGAATGCGCACATGACGTTATAATTTGCAGTCACGCAGCATCAAATTTACAAACTTGATTGTTAGATAAAGGAAAATAATAATAAAAAATAATTGCCTTTGAATTATCTGCGATCAGATCATTCGATTCAATATAAATGTTTTTACTTCCATTTGTTAACAGAAATGTATTTTCTTTTTCGGCATTAAAAAAAAAACATGATTAACACTGCGCAATTAAAAAAGCAAAACGAAAGTTAAATAAAAAAAAAACCCCAAAAAACAGACAAATGCTCTAAATTTTGTTATTCTTGCATTATGCCTGAGTAAAAGTAAATCCCCTCTCCCCGCATTTTTTAATTGCATTCGGCGAGAATTATCAAAAAGGAAACGGAGATCCCGAAATAAACCAGAATAAAAAGATCTTTTTTTAATTTTTATAAATGATAGCCATATCTTGATTTACTCAAGAGGAAAAACAATTTTTAAT